TATCCAATCAAGTAAGTTGATCCCAAAAAAAATTACCATGAAATATGATGAACTTCTCGTTATGACTAACAGTGATGAAAACCAATGCTCCGTCGTCAAATACATACATATAACACTAAATGTATAGCCATTTTAAGAGAATTCATACTTATAGCCTTCTAGTAGCAGGCATGTCATTTACAAAATTGATGAGATTAAAAGTGAATGTTTGTAGCTTAGAGCAAGTTGATGATTATGGAGGATTCAACACTTGGTAGTTGGACTAGTTGTGAACATGGGCTCCTGCGTCTAGACGGAATGAATGATGTATGGACTTATTTTTTTGGTCACTGTCTATCATCAGTTGTTTCTTCTGAAAAGCTACCCTTCTGCCATTTTTATGAATTAGACTTATTGATCGAAGCTTACAGAAATATATTTGTAATAAAGAATCACATGCTCCAGTTTCGGCACACGAGTAATAGCTTCGTTCAAATTCTAATTTAGTGATTTATGTTGAGTATACATATAAAAATGTGCTCCTTTCGATCAATAATCAAATTGCATTCGTGTTAACTGTTACGCTTGTTTTCAAATATTATCGTCATTGCTTGTTATGAACCTGAAGGTTGTTGAGAAGTAACGAAATAACTTGGAAAGTGATTATGCAATTTTGATTAGTTGGTTGATAGAAAAATCGTCTTTTATTTTCGCTTAGCACTATCAATTCAACTTGGTAAGTTATCTTATTATTACTCATTGTAAACAGTAGTAGTATATACAGGATGGATAGAATGTGGCTAGTTGTGGAATCCATGATGCGTGTTTCAGTCTAGTCTATTTGGGACCGGTCTTCTACTGGATGGATCTGCATCCCGGAGTTGATGTTCCCTTCGGAAGTCAATCTATTACTGCTTGCTTCAAATGTCGTTGCGTAATCCACACAGCTATTGAGTACAGAAAGCTACTTACTTGTGCAACGCGTATTAGATTTGACTTAGTTTAAAATAATAAAGGATTATGCCGTTGTTGATATTTTGAGTGAAATTCAATCAGGCGTGGTTGTTTTCAGTAGCTCAGTGGCATTTGGAGCGAATGGTACTTTGTTCAAACCTCTCCTACTTATCATGAGGCCTAAATATAACGAAATGCGCTTTCTGCATTCTACTCCAAGTCACACTCAATCAATCATTTACAAACCAACAACTGGTATTTTGAGGAAATCCTTGTACAACGACATATGTCGAGAGAGAACGCAGTCGAAATATTGAAAATATCCAAAAATCATTTACAATTGAACTGATACTATTCTAGCAATCATCTGATATGTACGTTCAAACAAAATTAAATAATCGTCGAACCTTTTCGCTTTCCTCATTTCAGGAACACTATCAAAGATTTATGGTTTTGATGTAATAGACTGGTGACATTTTCTTTTGATAAACCATTCAATGCAATGTTCAATAACACAGAATCATATAAAAAGCCAGTTGAATGTTCAATCATTCTTGCTTCTAAATAATATTCATTCTAATCAGTGTTAACATTTAAATATAAATAATTCATAAAAACTATTATTCCTTAAACAACTTCGTATCGAAATTTTACTTTGAAGATGAATAATTTCGTGTTTAGGATTGATCACTTAACAGAGAATGGGGATTGTTTACTCAACGTAACGTATCATTTCATATGTTCAAACTTCCACTAGAACACTTCTAGGGATATTGAAGTTTCGAAGCTCGGATAAATGAGTATTGTTTAGACATGGGATTGGCAACCCCTTACTTTAAAACTGAATGAGCTAACAAAGATACGTAATGAAAATATACCAATCAAAGCCATTTTAACTCTGTTCCAAACTATTAGACAAAGGTATTCACCCAACCTCCATCTCAGATGCTTTCCATTAAGCTGCGTTAAAAGCATGTGATATCCTGGAAATTATGTCTATCCCTGTGGACTTGGGAAACCACGAAGAACTTATCAAAGTGGCTACCACATCAATTAATTCCAAAGTCGTCTCAAAACATTCGGATAGCCTAGCACCTATAGCCGTGAAATTTGTCTTGGATGTTATCGACCCAGCTTATCCTAACTCCGTCCCTCTCTGGATGATATTCGCGTAATAAAAAAAACTCCGAGGCACAGTCGAAGACACCAAGTTAATTGACGGTCTTATACTCTTATACTACTACTACAACTACTACTAATACTGTAGTGAAGAACACAGGTGAGGGCAAACCGAATTGTACTTATCGCAAATTACAGAGTTAATTGGTAAAATAGGAAAACCATATCGTAAATTGTTCATTTGCAAAATATCAATCCATCACATATCTAACTAGACTGTTCCTGTTGCAAAACATCAATCCATTGTCACTGTTCATGCATTTCATACAAATCGCATTGTGTTTCCGCTCTTCCTTTCTTGTTGATCTTCCCCCATCTTCTACGGCCAGACATTACGTTTTTACTCGCGTCATATACTACTCATAAATAGCGCGCACCACACTACTACTGCTACTACTACTACTACTGTAGTGAACGAGAACACAGGTGGGGCAACCGAATTGTACTTATCGCAAATTACAGAGTTACTCAGTAAAATCGGAAAACCATATCGTAAATTGTTCACTTGCAAAATATCAATCCATCACATATCGAACTAGACTGTTCCTGTTGCCAAACATCAATCCATTGTCACTATTCATGCGTTTCATACAAATTCCATTGTTTTCTAACTTTTCCCTTCTTGATCTTCCCCCGTCTCCCGCTGCCAGACATTACATTGACGCTCACGTCATATACTACTTATAAGTAGCTCGCACCACACTACTACTACTACTACTACCATATACAGTCTGACCATTCTGTACAAATAAAGAAGCCTTGTGTTATTCACACTTTGAATGTATATTTCATTCAAACAAACTTACCACACAAAAACAACACACACACACACAGTTTATGATACAAGATGCGCAAATATGTATGACCAGCAAATTTGATAGATTTTTTTATCATTTTAAATCAAAACAAAGCAAAACGAAAAAAAAGAATCGGAACTTCAAAAATAAAACATCATTGTTGATTCGCAATGCAATGATTTAAACTAAATACAAAACAAAAAAACAAACACATACACCACATTCACTCACTCACTCACTCAACGAATGACAAATGTTAAAACACTGGTTCCCTTTTGATTAAAATTTTGAATAGACAGACATATAAGAAGACAACATATTTTGTGCTTTCTCATCAGTCACACATTATTTACTAGTAGTAGTAGTTACAAAAAGAGAGAAAATCACGATGATGATAACAGTAAGAATAAGATAAATCTAATCATCAAGTGTTGTTTTACGAGTAGCAGTTTTTTTTTTGTTAATAGGTTTGGTAGTGAAGTTCACTTCACTTGCGACGGTTACTACCATTACCAGACAGGATAACTACCATACGAATAAATATATTCAAAGCATCTACAAGTATTTTGATAGAACTAGATTTTGGGGAAAAAGAAATAATAAAGAAACAACTTTTTTATCACTCATTCCACACCAATATGAAAGAGATATTTTCACACATAGTTTTAACATAAATGATCTCACTAGTCAGTCATTCAAGCTCTCTAACCATAGGTGACTCGTCTCGCGGACCTCAACCAGGTAGCCCTACATCCGCCAACATGACTCAGTCCACTTGATGTCAGTGATTTCATGAATTTATGCCATGGTTTGATAATATTATATTGCACAGACAGTTTCTTTCTACAGCACTTTGTTGATAAGCTAAAGTTATTGCTATCTGATTCTCCTGAGATGTAATGAACCAATTTCCATTAATGTGTTCATTTTGTCCACCTAAATTCATTGTAAGAGAAAGATAAACGCTACTTCATATATTGACTATTGGAAAGTCGACTTTGTTTGACACTAACTTAAAACAACTAATCACTACTGCCATGTTGGTGATTGATCAATTGATGAAGCATTGTAACTTCATCAGCTGATGTAATTGGGACACATGTGTTACTGTTACGCACGCTCGTAAACATGTCATTTTGATATGCTTGAATTGTTACGAGTGTTTAACTTAGTCTGGAAACGAGAGCAAGGATCGAGGCGGTTGTAAGTGAAATGAATAGCCGGATAAAAATATAAATAAACACTGAGTTTTGTTGAAAAGCAATTCGAATTAAAAACTGACTACTGATTAGTTGATAAGTAGTAAGTAGTATAATCTAAGGTAGAATATAACCAGAGGGATTTGCAAAAGTGTAGCATACACAACAACACAGAACACATGAATAGAATAGCATTTTTTCTTCGGCAAATTGAAGAAGTGGTGTCAGCTTTAAGGAAACGAAAAGACATCAATCAAAGTGATGGTATATCATGTGAATTTTTTGGATTGGCGCATGAGAGAGGAAGAAGTCCGGTAGGAAAAAGAAAAGAAAAATTGTCTTTAATGATGATTATCAGTCAGTCAGTCAAGTTGCAGCGTAGAACTTCGTACGTAAGTAGATCAGTTCATGTTGTTGCTATACCACATTAGCACAGAGAAGAAATTGTCAATTCAAATTCCATTAGTGGTAGGTAGAGATAGTAGAACAATTATTGCTAATGGACAAGATTAGGATTTGGAAGTAATAATATTCAAGAAGTTTAATTCAGTGAGATAACTTTAGAAAGACAAAGGTAGATGTGTTGACAAATCTAAAAGATTAAGAGGATTTGAGAGAACACAAAGAGTGGATGCACCTGCGCCATTGCAAACAGTTTTAAGCCATGTCATTCAAGGTCTCTAACCATTGGTGAGTTTCATCTCGCGGACCTCAACCAGTTAGCCTACATCCGCCAACATGACTCAGTGACTTCATAGATTTCTGACATGTTTTGGTTTGGCCACCCCTAGCTTTCTTCCAACCTACTCTTATACCCCAAAACCATAGCTCGTCGAGGCAGGCCGTAAGTTGGCCATTCGTAACTGTTAAGATATTCATCCAATATCCTAAGAGAATTATTGGTACATTCCTATTGGTTAATATTTCTACGGATCAATTTTATGATCGTCCTACATATCAATGTCACGTACTCCAATGTTCTTTCTTATTGGTTATCCTGAATTTCAATATCACTTCAAATGTTGTTTCCTATTAGTCGTCTTAACTGTCAATATCACAGACTTTGGATGCTGTTTTCTATTCGACCTAAATGTATAAATACGCATTATCTGTATGTAACGCTTTATGACTCAAACCCGGAACGTTAGTCAGGGATCCTGGTTCTCTTCTGCACTCGGACCTCGTGCTTTCTGGATGCTTGTAGAATACAGGTTTTATTTCATATCAAGTCTTATTCTTTTTACTGAATATATATATATATATATATATATATATATATATATATATATATATATATATATATAACTTTGAATTCACACACCTTACCCAGTATAGTCCAGCATCATCAACTTCACAGTACTGATAACAGTTGATAACAGTCAGTTTAACAAAAAAACACATACTTGGTATATTATTAATAGATTAAAATAATATTTATTATCATTGATAAAAATCACTACTAACCTGTTGATTGGGTCAAATGGTTTGACAAAATTCGATTCCATCAATCTGTGGTTGTTATTGTAGGAATAAAGTGGTGGTGTAGTGTAAGACGGAGGTGGATAAGATTCCGCCCGTCTTATCACATGTTGTGTATCATACAATAGAAATCCCGAAAACAAAATAAGACCACCATATAGACTAATGAATGATAAACCAGATCCTAAACGACTTACAGGTGATAAAAACATGGAACCTTATGGAAGAAAAAAAAACACCACATTAGGATTAGATTTGCTGTGAAGATTTGAAAAAAAAAGGAAGCAGATTTCAAATGCTTTGAATATACATACGTACGTACCAACTTATGCTGATGAATATAATTTAATCAGTTGAAATCACACACACACACACATTTACTATATTCAATAAATTTAATCGTTTAATCACTCAATCAACAATAACGTTCAGGTTTAATTCAAACTCAAAAATGGATTCAAGACGTTCTTTGCTAAGATTTCCTTGAGAGAATACCACCAGTGTCAGAAGACGACTATGAGAACCTATTAAAATCCGTGTATTTATATGATTAATACGTTACTATACTAAATTCTATAATACTGTTAATTAAAACTTACCAATAGACGATACAAAGACAACTCCCAAACCAATTGCCAAAGGACCACCCCAGTTCAAAAAACGATCTGACGGCGCTGTCAATGCAACCAATGACAGAGAACCCACTATACCTCCAGTGTACATAGCAGCCTGAGTAAGAATCGGTCCTCCAACCAGACATATAGGCAATAACATACCACCTAAACTCATAGAATATGCAACCCATGCCAAGTGTTTAACACCTATACCTGATTGTGGATATGGAATTGACTGAAAGAACAATGCGAAAAAATTGAGGATTACAGGTAACAACACAATGAAACATTGTTAAAACACGTTTTACAGTAGGACGAAACGTTTAAAAGTTTGATCAAAAGAGCTCGGTGAACTTACTACTTACTATCACATCCAAACAGATATTAAACATTGTTATGATTTAGATTCAAGATCAATAGATGAAGTGGTGAAACTTCATCAGTTAAGGTGGTCGGGACATGTGTTGCGTATGCCTAACCACCGACTACCTTGAAGAGCTTTGTTTTGTAGTGTAGGAGTAGGTTGGAAGAAAGCTAAGGGCCGCCAGACCAAAACATGGCAGAAATCCATCAAGTCATTGACGAGTGGACTGAGCCATGTCGGTAATTGTCGACTACCTGGTTGGGGTCCGCGAGATGATAATAATCGATGGTTAGAGACCTTGAATGACATGGCTCAAAATCGTTCGCAATGGCGCAGGTGCATTTATTCTTTGTGTTCTCTCAAATCCTAATCTTCTGGATTCTTCAACAACTCTAGTTTTGACTTTCTAAACATTTCTCATTTAACCATACTTCTTGAATAATATCTTCTCATCCTAACCTCTCCGATTACTTCTAATACCCATACTAACTCTTCTTCTATTGGATTTGAATTGACAATCACATCTCTGTGCTGATGTGGTATGGCGATATGAACTGATGTACTTACGTACGAAGTTCTACGTTGCAACTGACTGACTGACTCAAGCTCCGGTAAATAAATATTCAGTACATTCAATACGTGAAAAAACGATAGAAACATTTCGATGAACATAGCAACCAACACATTTCAACACATACACAATGGTTATATGTGCGATTCGTCTGGGCATTATCATCTTTCCTGATAGTGAGTGACTTTGTGAATAAAATAACTTACAATACATTCATAAATCTTGACACAATTCACTTATACCACAAATTACCTACCTACCTAGTGTACACAATTCCAACAAGAAACAACAAATAAAAGGGAACTAATAACTGAACTCCTCTGCCTATCTTGATCAAATAAATCCATTAGAGAGAAAAAAAGAATGTTATTGACTATTAGTCAGTAAGTAATTTACATAGATACAAATATTATATGCTATGAAGCAGCATAGCAACAAATGAAACAATTATAAATAAACAGAAACACTCATTAGATTGTGAAATATAATAGTCATTATCAGATGCCATGCTGAACTGGACAAATGTGTTTCAATCAATTCCAATGATCAAGGATATTCGTATTGCTTCAACCATCCACCCACCACCATCTGCCTACACACCCGAACAACCTATTATTGATGATCAGTCAGTCAGTCAGATGCAATGTAGAACTTGGTACGTAAGTACATCAGTTCATGTTGCCATACCACATTAGCACATAGACGAAATTGTCGATTCAAATCCAATAGTAGTAGAGGTAGTAAAGATATTAGAAGTAATCGGAGAGGTTAGGATGAGAAGATACTATTCAAGAAGTATGATTCAGTCAGAAAAGTTTAGAAATCCAAAACTAGAGATGTTGAAGAACCCAGAAGATTAGAGTTTGATAGAACACAAAGAATAAATGCACTGGCGCCATTGCGAACGATTCCGAGCCATGTCATTCAAGGTCTCTAATAATCGATTATTATCATCTCACGGACCCCAACCAGGTAGTCTACAATTACCGACATGGCTCAGTCCACTTGTCAATGACTTCATGGATTTCTGCTATGTTTTGGTGTGGCCGCCCCTAACTTTCCTTCAGCCTACTCCTACACTACGAAACAAAGTTCGTCGAGGCAGTCGGTGGTTGGGCATACGCAACACATGTCCCAACCACCTCAACTGATGAAGTTTCATTACTTCATCTATTGTTCTGCCATTCTTACCTAGCACCCGATTCCTAATAACAGCGTTGTTCACTCGGGTGTCCCACGATGCACGAGCAATGCTTCGAAGACACCTATGATCGAAAACCAGTAACCTACGAATATCTTCTACTTTCACTGGTCATGTTTCACAGCCATAAAGTAAGACGGAGCGAACCACTGCACAGTACACTCGTCCTTTGGTCAGCAAACGGATATCACGCCTACGCCATAAGTGACGCAGGTTGGCAAAAGCTAATCGAGCCTTCTGTATCCGAGCTGAGATTTCGTCAGTCATCAGGCCATCGGCACTGATGAGACTCCCAAGATAAGTGAAGCGGTGTACACGTTCGACTACTTCACTCCCTATCTCTAGTTCAGGTGCCGATGCGACCCAATCTAGAAGCAACATTTTGCATTTCGAGGATGAGAACCGCATCCCGAACATGCTTGCATTGTTGCTTAGGGTAGTCAGAAGACTTATTATTGATGATGACAGTTAACCAACCTCCTATGAAGCTATAATCTGGACCAAGCCTAAAAGAAAAAGAAATGATGGCCCTGGCTACTACTACTACTACTACTCATCAAAGTGATACAAATTATTTAGAATACGTCATACTTCAGAATCAACATTGGATTCAGCTCATTCACTTGATACACACGCACGACAACATCATATTTTCCAATCCAACAGCAACATGTGTAGATAAACAAAAAAAAAAGAACTTCAGTGAAACTAGTCAATGCAACGCTAATTATTCACCTTATTCAAACTCTGCTCATACGGGTGCAGATAGATGACAGCAATGTTATGTATGTATGACAAACAGAAAATACCCCCGATATACACTGCATATTAGAAATCGGCTAACCACTAAAACTTCATTCTGTAATTCTTATCACCATTAACGAGATCAACAAGTAAAAATACCAAGACCAATAATCGTGTTCTACGTGAAGAACATCTTCAAGATCCCCGTATACGGAGAACCCGACCGTAACAGATGCTACCTTGACGTAGTGGTCAGACTTGTCTGTCGTGATGACCCAACCGAGCTATATTGGCTGGAACATATGTTCCTGTAGGTACTACCATGTCAAGCAGGTCGATTAGAGAACAATGACACTAAGAGCAGCTATTCAACGCCTGAGGGCGAAGTCATTCTCACTGTAGAGGGATGTGTTACCCACGGACAATCAGCATCTGCAGAGATGCTGCCTTCTCAAAAGGAAGGAAGGGGTTAGAAAGGGTCGACCCTAAAAATGTCACACCTCACCTTAACCTCACGGATTTCCGTCTCCGGCGATAAGCAAGAGCGGATCTAACACTTTAGAAACTTCTCATAAAAATGCCATGCGTGACCGGCCTTAAGCAGTTGTCCCTTGATATCAGCAGTCACGCTCCCAGGTCTCTAAAACCAACGCTAATCTACCTTCCTTTCCACATTCCTCAGGAAACATCCTTCTACCATGTGAGCGGCCGGAAAGTGATATCCACCCATATACACGTAACTGCACACCCGATATTATAAGGGTTGCTAGGATAAGATATAGCACACGAACTGGCAAAATCCATACAGTCAATGTTATTTGAACCTGACGACAACAGGAAAAGATAAACCAAGCATGATCCAAGAAATAGCAATAGCTCTGTGAAGAGCACTTCATGAGATTAAGTGGCCGCGACTACATGAAAACCAGCTAGCTAGTTGTTGACAAAACCAACCAAATACGAGTATGCGGTACTATTAAACTTAAAATTTACAGCAACATGATGAATGAATGCATCTGAACTAAGAGCTATTTTCAATCTTATCATTTAACAATTCCAACTATCTGCTGAACCATTTATCAGTAGTTTGAACAAACAGTCAGTGGCTTAAAAAAACACTGGTATCCAGATGCTAAAACTATGGGACAAAAGTCTTAATTCAGCCACACGAACATTAAACCAATACTTACTATACCAATGGTTCAGAATCACAATCAAATAGACTGTGTATGTTAGAAATTAGAAAATTATTCAGTGAATACAATGTGGATGGTAGGTTATATGATGAACTTATCAGAGTGATGAATACCTGACAAATGATTCCTGCAATTACAGACAATACAGCCATTCCGATGGGAGCAAGCCAACCACCACTAAGCATCAAACGACACACGGTAGGAGACTGGAGGAATGCAAACGATGAACCAGCTGTAATTGCAACACTAGCTAGTAGATAGCCATATGTTGCTTGAACACGTTGTTTCACATAATGTGGCCAAGTGACAGAACGATCAAAAGTTGACAGCGAATCATTCTTTGCCGACAAGCCATAAACACAAATACCGCCAATGCCCAGTGCAGCTGCAGACCCTATTAAAGCTCGAGTTTTGTTGAATTCTGAAAAAATAGAAAAATACTAACTTCAAGTTTCAGTCAGTCAGTTACAACGTAGAACTTCGTACGTACGTACGTACGTACATCAGTTCACGTTGCTATACAACTTCATTAAGATAGTGGAGAAAATCTGTAGTTTACAGCTATGCATAAAATGAGAGTATATGAATTGATATCAATTGGAAATGACTGGCAATGAAAATTGGTTGCGATTACTGGTGACATACTTGTGGTAACCAGTATAGTCAATTTCTTAATGACAGTGGCTAAGAGAAGTTGAGACAGCTTCTGACAGTTAACAAGTCCAACTGCTGTTTCCAACTAACAAACACACTCAGATTATCAAATTCCTCGATCACTATACAAGCTTTTCACAATTTTCTTACGTTTGAATCTATGTTTCCCATTCAATCCATGGTTCGAAGGAGCAAAATAACGTACTAAAAAAGGGTTGTAGGGAGATTGCGGAAACCTGATGTTTAAAATTGTGGCTTTTTGCTAAGTTGCAAGAGATTTAACATATCATCATTATCACGGCATCACGCAAATACAGTCAGTGCTCATTTACACATTCCAAACAAAAGTTTGTGGAATGTATGGCATACTAAACAGTGAATCAACCTTGTACAAGCTCTCTATTCAAACACTACTGGTCGATTTGCAGCCTATGATAAACTGTCATAAAAGTTGTTTACTTCAAATGGTGTTAAGCAGGGTTGTCCACCTCTTCTCAATTCTCATTGAACTTTCTTATTGACATGCTTCTAGAGACGACACTATCAACGCTTGACCTCTCAGGAGATGACCTTCCACCCGGAGATTTACTCGTTCATTTAGAATATGCCGACTACATACTTCTATTTTCTGAAAACGCTGACAAAATCAAATCATCTCACTACCTTGAAAACAGTGCTAACATGTTCACAGCAGAGTGCAAATTTCTCTCTCTCTCGGAATGTTAAATATTACATCAGGATAGAATTAGGGGTGAAGCTTGAGCACCAAGAAGAGATGACATCCGTAGGTCACTAGTATCCGATAATAGGTGTCTTCAAAGCATTGCTGGCGTATATACTGATTAAGATGCACCACTTCAACTGGTTTGCCATTATCACCAATCACCCTTTCCCTAAAACCAGCATTGTACACTCGATGATGCCAGGATATTCAAGCAATGCTTTGAAGGCACCTTGCCCGTTTGTTACATAAAGTGGATACAAAAGATACCTAAAGAAAGGTATATAATAAACTCAGACAAAAGGTAGCTAAATAACTTACCAAAATGTTTAGTTTCTGATTTCAAATTAATACGTCCCCTAGTACACACGAGTTGAGCAACGTGAATCTCTCTTCACACGAACACAACAACGGAGGTGACAGTTATGTACGGTGAAACCAACACTTGCAAATGGGCTAGTGTGCTACATGATTTACTACGTGCCCTCTTCGTTGTGGCTTATATGGGTGGACGTATTAATATTTGAAATGCATGAAACTAAACCATTTGTGTTGTGTTATAAAATTAAATTACAGTAGGTTTTTTTCTTGTTGACTTACGACGCTTTTTGTGTGTCTTGAGTGTGTATTATAGTAGCCTTTCTGTTAGGTATCTTTTGTCCTCCAACTTTATGGTGACCCAAACGTGTGTTCAGGGTTTGCACTTCAAATGCACTGTGCGCTTGAATTCTCACTTGTTCTCCATCGAGTATATGGTCGACCATCTGGTGGTGTTTTTATGTGGGGGAGGAAGGGTATTGTGTGTTTCGATTATACTGGGTAAGCATTCTAAGATTGGAAGTGTGTGTGCATTCTTAATATCATTATCATACTGCCCGCATGCGTTCGTATATTACACCGCGATTTGTATTGGTGACTAGTTTAGTACCTTACGGGAGTGTCATCCTCTTCTTGGACTTGTCTCAAGTGTGTTTGCTCCACGTCCCTAATTCTACCTCCTGACATTTGTTAATAATTTGTAACTAATTTCCGTAGATAGTATGAGATAATCTTGTGCATCTCTGGCTTTGTTGAACGATATGTGATTTTATTTGTTTAGAGCGGGACATCGTGGTTTGTTCTAAATGGTTTAGATGAGATGACTTGATTTTTTTCGACTACGTGTTTTTCAAGATAGATTGATACCGGAACTAGTTATGTAGTGTGTCGGCTCGTATTCTAATATGATAGGATTGGCTCATACTTCGCGTTGGTGTGTAAGAGTGTGTCATCTCTGGGCTGAGGAGGGTCTAAGTTGCTTGTTGATATAGTTGTCGTGTTCTCTGTTTGATTTCACTATGCATAGTTTTTCTATGGTAATGTGCGCCAGTATACATCTTCCCGTGCAAATCATTGGGACGTTGTTGTGGTTTGTGACAAGTAAATTGAGGCACTGTACTTGGGTTTATTTTGTGTGCGTCGCTCTCCGTGGATATATGATGATGATGGTTCGAACATATTCGATATCTATATCTCATTTGCATACCTTACACGTTCAACAATAGTTTCACATATTTTCTGTTAAACAATCGATTGGTTTTTTTCTGCACAAATCTTCCGCTACATACCCATTGTTTTTAGTTTAGGGTAGTTCGTTCTTTGCGTCCTTAGTGCTCTCTCTTCGTAATACCATGAGGTGTGTGTTATTTGTGTTATTGTGTGGTAAACTCTTATAGGTGTCGACGGTATCTTATACGAACAACTTGGGGAAACAGCTTAGTATTTAGTGTGGTATCGTGAGGAATGTTGTTCTTAATTCTGAGTGTGTAACGGCTCAGCCGTTGAGTGTCTGTTATACTATACTAGTGGTTCCCAATGATTTCGTCATGTCTTCCTCGATATTACCTTGGCGGTGCTCCTTACTGGTCCACCACTGGTCGCAGTTGAAGAAATTTAACTTTACTATTCCTAGTTATAACCCACACTTATGTTGACAGTTGCTTTTCACCACATGTTCATCCGTCCGCCATAACCAAGTTTTGTCGTGTTAGCTCAAGTTCCTATTGCCAATTGAATATATCAATTCAATAAATACTCTCATTTTATGCATAGCTGTAAACTACAGATTTTCTCCACTATCTTAATGAAGTTGTATGGCATACGTGAACTGATTAGTACGTAACGTACGTACTACCGTACGAAGTTCTACGTTGTAACTGACTGACTGAAACTTGAAGTTAGTATTTTTCTATTTTTTCAAGAATTCACAAAACTCGAGCTTTAATAGGGTCTGCAGCTGCACTGGGGCATTGCGGTATTTGTGTTTATGGCTTGTCGGCAAAGAATGATTCGCTGTCAACTTTTGATCGGTTCTGTCACTTGGCCACATTATGTGAAACAACGTGTTTCAAGCAACATATGGCTATCTACTAGCTAGTGTTGCAATTACAGCTGGTTCATCGTTTGCATTCCTCCAGTCTCCTACCGTGTGTCGTTTGATGCTTAGTGGTGGTTGGCTTGCTCCCATCGGAATGGCTGTATTATCTGTAATTGCAGGAATCATTTGTCAGGTATTCATCGCTCTGATAAGTTCATCATTTAACCTACCATCCACATTGTATTCACTGAATAATTTTCTAATTTCTAACATACACAGTCTATTTGATTGTGATTCTGAACCATTGGTATAGTAAGTATTGGTTTAATGGTTCGTGTGGCTGAATTGAGACTTTTTGTCCCATAGTTTTAGCATCTGGATACCAGTGTTTTTTTAAGCCACTGACTGTTTGTTCAAACTACTGATAAATGGTTCAGCAGATAGTTGGAATTGTTAAATGATAAGATTGAAAATAGCTCTTAGTTCAGATGCATTCATTCATCAAGTTGCTGTAAATTTTAAGTTTAATAGTACTGCATACTCGTATTTGGTTGGTTTTGTCAACAACTAGCTAGCTGGTTTTCATGTAGTCGCGGCCACTTAATCTCATGAAGTGCTCTTCACAGAGTTATTGCTATTTCTTGGATCATGCTTGGTTTATCTTTTGTTGTTGTCGTCAGGTTCAAATAACATTGACTGTGTGGATTTCGCCAGTTCGTGTGCTATATCTTACCCTAGTAACCCTTGCAATATCGGGTGTGCAGTTACGTGTATATGGGTGGATATCACTTCCTGGCCGCACACATGGTAGAAGGGTGTTTCCTGAGGAATGTGGAACGGAAGGTAGATTAGCGTTGGTTTTAGAAGCCTAGGAGCGTGACTACAGATACCAAGGGACAACTGCTTAAGGCTGGTCACGCATGGCATTTTTATGAGAAGTTTCTAAAGTGTTACATCCGCTCTTGCTTATCGCCGGAGACGGGAATCCGTGAGGTAAGGTGAGGTGTGACATTTTTTAGGGTCGACCCTTTCTAACCCCTTCCCTTCCTTTGTAAGAAGGCCAGCATCGGCTAGCAGATACTGATTGTGTCTCGGGGGTACACATCCCTCTACAATGAGAATGACTTCCCTGCCTTCAGCGTTGAGTAGCTGCTCTTATGTGTCATTGTTCTTATAATCAACCTTGCTTGACATTGTAGTACCCCCCCCCATACAGGAACATATGTTCCAGCCAATATAGCTTCGGCTTGGGGTACACATCACGACCAGACAAGTCTGACCACTACGGTCAAGGTAGCGATCTGTTACGGTCGGGTTCCTCGTATACAGAGATCTTCAAGATGTTCTGCACGTAGAAGTACACGATTATATGGTCCTTGGTACATTTTACGTTGTTGAGCTCGTTAATGGTGATAAGAACGTTACAGAATGAAGTATTTAGTGGTCATAGCCGATTTCTAATATGCAGTGTATATCGGGGTATTTTTCGGTTTGTCATACATACATAACATTACTGTCATCTATCTAGCACCCGTATGAACAGACGTTTCGAATAAGGTGAATAATTAGCGTTTGCATTGACTAGTTTTCACTGAAGTTCTACATATGTTGCTGTTGGATTGGAAAATATGATGTTGTCGTGCGTGTGTATCAAGTGAATGAGCTGAATCCAATGTTGATTCTGAAGTATGACGTATTCTAAATAATTTGTATCACTTTGATGAGTAGTAGTAGTAGTAATAGTAGCCAGGGCCATCATTTGTTTTTCTGGTTAGGCTTGGTCCAGATTATAGCTTCATAGGAGGTTGGTTAACTGTCACTCATCAATAATAAAGTCTTCTGACTACCCTAAGCAACAATGCAAGCATGTTCGGGATGCGGTTCTCATCCTCGGAAATGCAAAATGTTGCTTCTAGATTGGGTCGCATCGGCCACCTGAACTAGTGATAGGGGAGTGAAGTAGTCGAACGTGTAACCACCGCTTCACTTATCTTGGGAGTCTCATCAGTGCCGATGGCCTGGTGACTGACGAAATCTCAGCTCAGATACAGAAGGCTCGATTAGCTTTTGCCAACCTGCGTCACTTATGGCGTAGGCGTGATATCCGTTTGCTGACTAAAGGACGAGTGTACTGTGCAGTGGTTCGCTCCGTCTTACTTTATGGCTGTGAAACATGACCAGTGAAAGTAGAAGATATTCGTAGGTTACTGGTTTTCGATCATAGGTGTCTTCGAAGCATTGCTCGTGCATCGTGGGACACCCGAGTGAACAACGCTGTTATTAGGAATCGGGTTCTAGGTAAGAATGGCAGAACAATAGATGAAGTAATGAAACTTCATCAGTTGAGGTGGTTGGGACATGTGTTGCGTATGCCCAACCACCGACTGCCTCGACGAGCTTTGTTTTGTAGTGTAGGAGTAGGTTGGAAGAAACTTAGGGGCGGCCAAACCAAAACATGGCAGAAATCCATGAAGTCATTGACGAGTGAACTTAGCCATGTTGGTAGATGTAGACTAGCTGGTTGGGGTCCGCGAGATGATAATAATCGATGGTTAGAGACCTTGAATGACATGGCTCGGAATCGTTCGCAATGGCGCCGGTGCATTTATTCTTTGTGTTCTCTCAAACTCTAATCTTCTGGGTTCTTCAACATCTCTAGTTTTGGATTTCTAAACTTTTCTGACTGAATCATACTTCTTGAATAGTATCTTCTAACCCTAACCTCTCCGATTACTTCTAATGCTTTTACTACCTCTACTACTACTATTGGATTCGAATTGACAATTACATCTCTGTGCTGATGTGGTATGGCAACATGAACTGATGTACTTACGTACCAAGTTCTACGTTGCATCTGACTGACTGACTGATCATCAATAATAGATTTTTGGGGTGTGTAGGCAGATGGTGGTGGGTGGGATGGTTGAGGCGATTCGAATATCCTTGATCATTGGAATTAATTGAAACACATTTGTCCAGTTCAACATGGCATCTGATAATGACTATTATATTTCACAATCTAATGAATGTTTCTGTTTATTTATAATTGTTTCATTTGTTGCTTGCTGACCTAATGCTGCTTCATAGCATATAATATTTGTATGTATGTAAATTACTTATTGACTAATAGTCAATAACATTCTTTTTTTCTCTCTAATGGATTTATTTGATCAATATAGGCAGAGGAGTTCAGTTATTAGTTCCCTTTTATTTGTTGTTTCTTTTTGGAATTGTGTGCACTAGGTAGGTAGGTAATTTGTGGTATAAGTGAATTGTATCAAGATTTATGAATGTATTGTAAGTTATTTTATTCACAAAGTCACTCACTATCAGGAAAGATGATAATGCCCAGACGAATCGCACATATAACCATTGTGTATGTGTTGAAATGTGTTGGTTGCTATGTTCATCGAAATGTTTCTATCGTTTTTTCACGTATTGAATGTACTGAAAAAATTTATTTACCGGAGCTTGAGTCAGTCAGTCAGTTGCAACGTAGAACTTCGTACGTAAGTACATCAGTTCATGTCGCCATACCACATCAGCACACAGAGATATAATTGTCAATTCAAATCCAATAGAAGAAGAGTTAGTTATGGGTATTAGAAGTAATCGGAGAGGTTAGGATGAGAAGATATTATTCAAGAAGTATGATTCAGTGAGAAAAGTTTAGAAAGTCGAAACTAGAGTTGTTGAAGAATCCAGAAGATTAGGATTTGAGAGAACACAAAGAATAAATGCACCTGCGCCATTGCAAACGGTTTTGAGCCATGTCATTCAAGGTCTCTTACCATCGATTATTATCATCTCGCGGACCCCAACGAGGTAGTCGACAATTACCGACATGACTCAGTCCACTAGTCAATGACTTCATAGATTTCTGCCATGTTTTGGTTTGGCCGCCCCTAACTTTCTTCCAACCTATTCCTACACTACAAAACAAAGCTCGACGAGGCAGTTGGTGGTTAGGCATACGCAACACATGTCCCGACTACCTTAACTGATGAAGTTTCACCACTTCATCTATTGATCTTGAATCTACATCATAACAATGTTTAATATCTGTTTGGATGTGATAGTAAGTAGTAAGTTCACCGAGCTCTTTTGATCAAACTTTTAAACGTTTCGTCCTACTGAACAACGTGTTTTAACAATGTTTCATTGTGTTGTTACCTGTAATCCTCATTTTTTCGCATTGTTCTTTCAGTCAATTCCATATCCACAATCAGGTATAGGTGTTAAACACTTGGCATGGGTTGCATATTCTATGAGTTTGGGTGGTATGTTATTGCCTATATGTCTGGTTGGAGGACCGATTCTTACTCAGGCTGCTATGTACACTGGAGGTATAGTGGGTTCTCTGTCATTGGTTGCATTGACAGCGCCGTCAGATCGTTTTTTGAACTGGGGTGGTCCTTTGGCAATTGGTTTGGGTGTTGTCTTTGTATCGTCTATTGGTAAGTTTTAATTAACAATATTATAGAATTTTGTATAGGTAACGTATTAATCATATAAATACACGGATTTTAATAGGTTCTCATAGTCGTCTTCTGACACTGGTGGTATTCTCTTAAGGAAATCTTAGCAAAAAACGTCTTGAATCCATTTTTGAGTTTGAATTAAACCTTAACGTTATTGTTGATTGAGTGATTAAACGATTAAATTTATTGAATAGTAAATGTGTGTGTGTGATTTCAACTGATTAAATTATATTCATCAGCATAAGTTGGTACGTATGTATGTATATTCAAAGCATTGGAAATCTGCTTCCTTTTTTTTTCAAATCTTCACACACAGCATATCTAATCCTAATGTGATGTTTTTATTTTTCTCTTCCATAAGGTTCCATGTTTTTATCACCTGTAAGTCGTTTAGGATCTGGTTTATCATTCATTAGTCTATATGGTGGACTTATTTTGTTTTCGGGATTTCTATTGTATGACACACAACATGTGATAAGACGGGCGGAATCTTATCCACCTCCGTCTTACACTACACCACCACTTTATTCCTACAACAACCACAGATTAATGGAATCGAATTTTGTCAAACCATTTGACCCAATCAACAGGTTAGTAGTGATTTTGCAATGATAATAGATATTATTTTAATCTATTAATAATATACCAAGTATGTGTTTTTTTGTTAAACTGACTGTTATCAACTCAACTGTGAAGTTGATGATCCTGGACTACACTGGGTAAGGTGTGTGAATTCAAAGTTATATATATATATATACATATTCAGTAAAAAGAAGAAGACTTGATATGAAACAAAACCTGTATTCTACAAGCATCCAGAAAGCACGAGGTCCGAGTGCAGAAGAGAACCAGGATCCCTGACTAACGTTCCGGGTTTGAGTCATAAAGCGTTACAGATAATGCGTATTTATACATTTAGGTCGAATAAGAAACTGCATCGAATTCTGTGACATTGACAGCTAGAACGACCAATAGGAAGCAACATTTAAAGTGACTTTGAAATTCAGGACAACCGATAAGAAACATTATTGGAGTACGTGACATTGATATGTAGGACGATCATAAAATTGATCCGTAAAAATATTAACCAATAGGAATTGACCAATAATTCTCTTAGGATATTGGATGAATATCTTAACAGTTACGAATGGCCAACCTACGGCCTGCGTCGACGAGCTATGTTTTGTGGTATAAGAGTAGGTTGGAAGAAAGCTAGGGTCGGCCAAACCAAAACATGTCAGAAATCTATAAAGTCACTGAGTCATGCTGGCGGATGTAGGCTACCTGGTTGAGGTCCGAACACCACTGGTCGAGTGAGGGCTTATGGCGAACTGTCACCGGAATTCTCTACATCAAGTGGTGTCCGTCAGGGATGTCCACTTTCTCCATTTTTGTTTAATTTTATCATAGACATGCTCCTAGAAATAACCTTATCCTCGTCTGAATTTTCAGGAGTAGACCTTCTACCAGGTGGCTCGCTTATTGACTTAGAATATGCCGATGACATAGTCCTACTTGGTGAAGACGCTGACAAAATGCAGAGTCTTCTGACTACCATAAGCAACAATGCAAGCATGTTCGGGATGCGGTTCTCACCCTCGAAATGCAAAATGTTGCTTCAAGATTGGGTTGCATTGGCACCTGAACTAGTGATAGGGAGTGAAGTAGTCGAACGTGTAGACCGCTTCACATATCTTGGTAGTCTCATCAGTGCTGATGGCCTGGTGACTGACGAAATCTCAGCACGGATACAGAAAGCTCGGTTGGCTTTTGCCAATTTGCGTCACTTATGGCGTAGGCGTGATATCCGTTCTCTAATCAAAGGACGAGTGTACTGTGCAGCAGTTCGCTCCGTTCTCCTATATGGCTGTGAAACATGGCCAATGAGAGTAGAAGATACTCGTCGGTTATTAGTTTTCGATCATAGGTGTCTTCGAAGCATTGCTAGTATATCCTGGGACAACCGAGTGAGCAACGCTGTTATTAGGAATCGGGTGCTAGGTAAGGATGGCAGATCAGTCGATGAAGTGGTGAAACTTCATCAGTTAAGGTGGTCGGGACATGTGTTGCGTATGCCTAACCACCGACTGCCTTGAAGAGCTTTGTTGTGTAGTGTAGGAGTAGGTTGGAAGAAACTTAGGGGCCGCCACACCAAAACATAGCAGAAATCCATCAAGTTATTGACTAGTGGACTTAGCCATGTCGGTAGTTGTCGACTACCTGGTTGGGGTCCGCGAGATGATAATAATCGATGGTTAGAGACCTTGAATGACATGGCTCAAAACCGTTTGCAATGGCGCCGGTGCATTTATTCTTTGTGTTCTCTCAAATCCTAATCTTCTGGATTCTTCAACAACTCTAGTTTTGACTTTCTAAACTTTTCTCATTAAATCATACTTCTTGAATAATATCTTCTAATCCTAACCTCTCTGATTACTTCTAGTACCTTTACTACCTCTTCTACTATTGGATTTGAATTGACAATCACATCTCTGTGCTGATGTGGTATGGCGACATGAACTGATGTACTTAAGTACGAAGTTCTACGTTGCAACTGACTGACTGAGGTCCGCGAGACGAAAGTCACCATTGGTTAGACACCTTGAATGACATGGATTTGTCAACACATCTACCTTTGTCTTTCTAAAGTTATCTCACTGAATTAATAAACTTCTTGAATATTATTACTTCCAAATCCTAATCTTGTCCATTAGCAATAATTGTTCTACTGTCATCTCTACCTACCACTAATGGAATTTGCTTTGACAATCGCATCTCTGTACTAATGTGGTATGGTTTAGCAACAACATGAACTGATCTACTTACGTACGAAGTTCTACGTTGCAACTGACTGACTGAGGTCCGCGAGACGAAAGTCACCAATGGTTAGACAATTTGAATGACATGGATTTGTCAACACATCTACCTTTGTCTTTCTAAAGTTATCTCACTGATTTAAACTTCTTGAATATTATTACTTCCAAATCCTAATCTTGTCCATTAGCAATAATTGTTCTACTGTCATGTCTACCACTAATGGAATTTGAATTGACAATCGCATCTCTGTTCTAATGTGGTATGGTATAGCATCATGAACTGATCTACTTACGTACGAAGTTCTACCCTGCAACTTGACTGACTGACTGACTGATAATCATCATTAAAGACAATTTTTCTTTTCTTTTTCCTACCGGACTTCTTCTTCTTCCTCTCTCATGCGCCAATCCATAAAAATTCACATGATATACCATCACTTTGATTGATGTCTTTTCGTTTCCTTAAAGCTGACACCACTTCTTCAATTTGCCGAAGAAAAAATGCTATTCTATTCATGTGTTCAGTGTTGTTGTGTATGCTACACTTTTGCAAATCCCTCTGGGTATATTCTACCTTAGATTATACTACTTACTACTTATCAACTAATCAGTAGTCAGTTTTTAATTCGAATTGCTTTTCAACAAAACTCAGTGTTTATTTATATTTTTATCCGGCTATTCATTTCACTTTACAACCGCCTCGATCCTTGCTCTCGTTTCCAGACTAAGTTAAACACTCGTAATAATTCAAGCATATCAAAATGACATGTTTACGAGCGTGCGTAACAGTAACACATGTGTCCCAATCACATCAACTAATAATGAAGTTTCAATGCTTCATCAATTGATCAATCACCAACATGGCAGTAGTGATTAGTTGTTTAAGTTAGTGTCAAACAAAGTCGACTTTCCAATAGTCAATATATGAAGTAGCGTTTATCTTTCTCTTACAATAAATTAAGGTGGACAAAATGAACACATAAACGGAAATTGGTTCACTATATCTCAGGAGAATCAGATAGCAATAACTTTAGCTTATCAACAAAGTACTGTAGAAAGAAACTGTCTGTACAATATAATATTATCAAACCATGGCAGAAATTCATGAAATCACTGACAACAAGTGGACTGAGTCATGTTGGCAGATGTAGGGCTTCCTGGTTGATGTTCGCGAGACGAAAGTCACCAATGGTTAGAGACCTTGAATGACATGGCTCAAAACTGTTTGCAATGGCGCAGGTGCATCCACTCTTTGTGTTCTCTCAAATCCTCTTATTCTTTTAGATTTGTCAACACATATCTACCTTTGTCTTTCTAAAGTTATCTCACTGAATTAATAAACTTCTTGAATATTATTACTTCCAAATCCTAATCTTGTCCATTAGCAATAATTGTTCTACTGTCATCTCTACCTACCACTAATGGAATTTGAATTGACAATCGCAGCATCTCTGTACTAATGTGGTACGGTATCGCAACAACATGAACTGATGTGTACTTACTTACATACGACATTCTCCGTTGTAACTGACTGACTGGACTGACTGGTGAGATCATTTATGTTAAAACTATGTGTGAAAATATCTCTCTCATATTGGTGTAGAAGGAGTGATGAAAAAGTTTTTTCTTTTATTATTTCTTTTTCCCCAAAATCTAGTTCTATCAAAATACTTGTAGATGCTTTGAATATATTTATTCGTATGGTAGTTATCCTGTCTGGTAATGGTGGTAACCGTCGCAAGTGAAGTGAACTTCACTACCAAACCTATTCACAACAAAAACTGCTATCATAATAAAACAACACTTGATGATTAGATTTATCTTATTCTTACTGTTCTCATCATCGTGATTTTCTCTTTTTTGTAACAACTACTGCTACTACTAAATAATGTGTGACTGATGAGAAAGCACAAAATATGTTGTCTTCTTATTTGTCTGTCTATTCAAAATTTTGATCAAAAGGGAACCAGTGTTGTTTTTTGAACTACTACTACTACTAATAACAAAAACAGTCAAAATGAATTTTAACATTTGTCATTCGTTGTGTGAGTGAGTGAATGAGTGGTGTATGTGTTTGTTTTTTGTTTTGTATTTAGTTGAAATCATTGCATTGCAAATCAACAATGATGTTTTATTTTTGAATATCCGACTTATTTTTTCGTTTTGTTTTGATTTAAAATGATAAAAAAAATCTATCAAATTTGCTGGTCATACATATTTGCGCATCTTGTATCATAAACTGTGTCTGTGTGTTGTGTGTGTTGTTTTTGTGCGGTAAGTTTGTTTGAATGAAATATACATTCAAAGTGTGAATAACACAAGGCTTCTTTATTTGTACAGAATGGTCAGACTGTAGTAGCAGTAGTAGTGGTATTAGTGTGGTGCGCGCTACTTATAAGTAGTATATGACGTGAGTGTCAACATAATGTCTTGCAGCATAAGATGGGGGAAGATCAAGAAAGGAAGAGTTAGAAAACAATGAATTTGTAGGAAACGCATGAATAGTGAGTGACAATAGATTGATGTTTTGCAACAGGAACAGTCCAGTTCGATATGATGTACTGATATTTTGCAAATGAGCGATTTACGATATGGTTTTCCAATTTTACTGAGTAACTCTGTAATTTCCGTATAATACAATTCGGTTGCCCTCACCTGTCTTCTCGTTCACTACAGTAGTAGTAGTGGTCGGAGTAGTAGTGTGTTGCGCGCTACTTATAAGTAGTATATGACGAGAGTAAAAACGTAATGTCTGGCAGTAGAAGATGGGGGAAGATCAACAAGAAAGGAAGAGTGGGAACACAATGGGATTTAAATGAAATGCATGAATAGTGACAATGGATTGATGTTTTGCAACAGGAACGGTCTAGTTCGATATGTAATGGATTGAAATTTTGCAAATGAACAATTTACGAAATGGTTTTCCGATTTTACTGAGTAACTCTGTAATTTTCGTTAAATACAATCCGGTTGCCCTCGCGTGTGTTCTCCGTCACTACAGTATTAGTAGTAGTTGTAGTAGTAGTATAAGAGTATAAGACCGTCAATTAACTTGGTGTCTTCGACTGTGCCTCGGAGTTTTTTTTATTACACCAGAGAGACGGAGTTAGGATAAGCTGGGTCGATAACATCCAAGACAGATTTCACGGCTGTAGGTGCTAGGCAATCCGAATGTTTTGAGACAAGTTTGGAATTAATTGATGTGGTAGCCACTTTGATAAGTTTTTTCGTGGTTTCCCAAGTCCACAGGGATAGACATACATACTTTCCAGGATATCACATGCTTTTAACGCAGCTTTTTGGAAAGCATCTGAGATGGAGGTTGGGTGAATACCCTTGTCTAATAGTTTGGAGCAAGCATCGAGAAGACTGCCAGATAGAGCAACTACGGAAGTGCTCCCATCTCCTGCCTTGATGTCTTGAGCTTTTGATAACTCTACCGATAGTTTGGCTGCGGGATGAAGAAGTTTCATTTGTTTCAAAATTGTAGCTCCGTCATTCGTGATTGTAATATCACCTTTTGCTTCTAGTATCATTGTATGCATTCCTTTAGGTCCTAGGCTAGTACGAATTGCATCAGTGACAGCTTTAGCAGCGACTATGTTGCTTGACCCGATGGCAGCAGGTTTCCCTTTGTCTTCACATATTACCCCTCTTTAGGTTTTGCGTTAGATCCGCTAGGAGCATTACTGGCAAAAGTCTGGGTCATGACTGCAAGAGCGTGATGACCTCGACCAATTCAAGGGCGCCTAAACTAAATCGTTAATAAAAACGCGAACCAGAAAAAATAATTCAAACCATTTAAACTCTGCCGTGGTAGTTAGCTAAAGAGTCTCCATTTAGAGGAGTTATGACGCCTCGTGATGGAAGCCGAGTTCGTTGGGAACTCACGAGGCCGATGCCCACCCGCTGATAACCAGATCCCTTCCACGGTGTGAGCAGTGGGGAAGTGATCACCGCCCTCGTACCTGTAAAAAAGCACGTTCACGAATCATGACGTCAGAATAGTCGCGTAATATCGAGGTCCTGAACAATACCCTTTAAATATATGTGTATTTTCATAATCAAACTGTTGTGATCTTATGGGTAAACTAGAAATTAGCAGCATAGGGGTTGTTTGGGAAAAGATTAAGTCCAGAGGAGGTTAGTTAATAAGGTTTCGCTTAGCTGCTGAGAATGGACGACCGATTAGTCGTCCTTGGGATTAGCACCCACTATTATCAGTTAATCAGAGATTATATGATACAGACTGGAAATTCACAGTCAAAATAGAGTGAATTACAAGGTACATATATATAGATCCCGTGGAGATTTCCCTTCTTTGACTTTTTGTTGTTTTCCTGAGTAACAACAGCACGAACTGTACGCAGAAGTGAACTATGCGAATTTCTCCATGAATAATTGACAGATCGTTCAGTCAACCGTGATCTTCGTTGGTTAGTATTGTCTTTTACTCTGTCGGTTTTGATGTGTTCGTTTATTGCAAAGTGCCAAACTTCTAGAATTTCTCCGATCTTAGTATTTCCTCCATTCGAAACTACTTTAACATTTTCTTCAGTTAGAGAAAGCAAAGATCATACTATTATAGTTTTGATGTTTATACAGACGACGATGTAATGTCCTTTGTAGTTGGAACCGTTGAATTTTGTAAATAATGTTCAGTACTTGCTGTCATTTCATATCCTTCAGTTTGCGATAGACTGACTCTACTGGTTAACGACATTAAATGGACTGTAGGCTGTTTTTTGTACCGTTGAATATAAATTCCCACCAGCGTTTAGTAATTTACTGTCATAAGCTACACAAAACTTAAAATAATAAGTTAGTCAGTAGCTACATCGAACTTGTCACGTATGTACATTAGTTCAAGTTACCACACCATATAAGCACAGAAAGATTAGAATGTCAATTCAAGTCTCAGTAGTATTGGTGTGGTGCGAGCTACTTATGTGTATTATATGACGTGAGCGTCAACGTAATGTCTGGCAGAACAGATGGGGGAAGATCTAGAAAGGAAGAGTTAGATAACAATGGAATTTCTATGAAACGCATGAATAGTGACAATGGATTGATGTTTTGCAACAGGAACAGTCCAGTTCGATACGATGAACTGATATATTTTGCAAATGAACAATTTACGAAATGGTTTTCCGATTTTACTGAGTAACTCTGTAATTTCGCTAAATACAATTCGGTTGCCCCACCTGTGTTCTCCTTCACTACAGTGGTAGTAGAGGTAGTAGTAGCATTATTAGCAGTAGTCAAAAAGATTAGGGATCGAAGGGATGATTTGAGAAGTATAAATCCTGTGCAATAAAATTTTGATATAGGAAGATAATAGTCATGAGGAGGTCCGAATCCAGAAGAGAATCAGGATCCCGGAATGGGGATCCGGGACCGAGCCCTGGTCGTGGTCATAAAACGTTTCAGTTAATGAGTATTTATAGATTTTGGTCGAATAGGAAACAGCATCGAATTATGGGACATTGACAGTTAGGACGACCAATAGGAAGTAACATTTGAAGTGACATTGATAGTCAGGATGACCAATAAGAGACAACATTTAAGTTTTTGACTTTGACAGTTAAAACGACGATAATTTTGACCAATAAAAATCGACCAATAGGATTTGACCAATAATTCTCTTAGGATATTGGATGAATATCCTAACATAAACAGAATGAAGGATTCAGTGGATACCTAACTTTAAGATCAGCAGACTGGATTGCGTCAAGATCGATCATGTACCGACAGAAGCGCGACGTTATGGATCATTGTGGAACAGTCACTTGAATGGAATTCACTACTATAAATCAACTTCATTAACTATGAAAACGGATACGGTAGCGCGGACACAATGACACTATGGAGGCTTCTTCAACTCTATAGTGTGCCTGAGAATTCTTATGATGGATTACTACTACAAAATCGTTCATAAAGTTTAAACCCATGTCCTCTTGATGAAAAATAACTTTTTTTGAAAACGTAAATTGATTTTGTGAATAACAGAAGTCGTGGATACGCACTACTGATAAGTCTCATATCAGGACAAAACGGCCACAACCGTATAATATAAAAATGTTTTATTCGAAGATGATTGTGATAATGTTTATTGGTTTGGTTATACTACAAGTGTAGTGAACGACAACACAGGTGGGGCAACCGGATTGTATTTAACGAAAATTACAGAGTTACTCAGTAAAATCGGAAAACCATTTCGTAAATCGTTAATTTGTAAAATATCAGTGCATCATATCGAACTGGACTGTTCCTGTTGCAAAACATCAATCCATTGTCACTATTCATGCATTTCATACAAATTCCATTGTGTTCCCGCTCTTCCTTTCTTGATCTCCCCCCATCTGCTGCCAGACATTACGTTGACGCTCACGTCATATACTACTTATAAGTAGTACACAACACACAAGCACCGTTTATTATGTTCGTTTGGACAAAATGAACATAGTATGTATATTCACAATTACAGTAAAACACAATCGATGAATTCAACATGTTCAATGTTGAAATAAATGATTGATTTAATGTAATGCAACCCTATTATGTACAGTACAACAAATTGAACATTTATTTCAAAGTATTCATTAACACAGATGGATATTGAATGGTTAGCTGTGGAATTCAAGAGTTCTGTTTCGTCTTATTTTTGAGCTTCATCTTTAGCTGGAAGTGTGGTGTGTGCTACTTATACGAACAATATAAGTAGTATAAGAATGGACGTGAAAGAAAAAGTCTCACGTTCAGAAGAGGAAAACGGAAAGCAAATAGAGCAAAAACAAAAATAGAGCATAAATAGAGCACCGACAGGAAGTAAAGGAAGCAACAGCAGGAATGGAAGAAGGCTGGAGCGTTGGAAGTCATGCGACTCAAAGACGGTGTGCAAATAGAGTGTTCAATGTGATGTTTTCGTTTTTAATTGACTAAGAGTGTAAATTTGCCATATACAATCTATCGAGCCTGCCTCAGTCTTCTCAGAAGTACTTACCATATCTCATTGTGAAATTGGAACCCAGTACCAAGCCAAATAGGCTATACAGATGAACACATAATCTACACCTCATTGTACACAAGTAAGTGGGTATATGAACTAGTTTTTAGGAAAAGTTTCGGGACGTCATTAGATGAACCTGATGTATGTGATGGAAATGGAAATGTTGTCTAAAATTATGATCATGAATTATTCTTGATAGAATCTTGAATTATGTACATAAAGAAACTGTAATCTTTTCATATTTTCAATGATAGTCCTTATATTTACCATTAAATCATACTAAAATACGCTTAAAGATTTTTATTCAATATGACAAATTGAAATT